TCTCGGTGTAAAACGGAGGCGAACGTCGCCGGCAATCTGATGCATTCCTGGCCGAACGATCATCCTGATGCCGTCGCCGTCGCGAGACACGTAGTGGCCATTATACCTGGCCTCCTCTCTCGAGTACGCCGCTGTAAATTATTCGCACTCGGCCGAGTCTCGCGATTCTCTACGCGCGACAAATGACAAACCGACGACAGGTGCCACCAAACAACCGACCTGTCTTTCGCGAGACTACTTATCTTGCTCGGTGCCGGCCAAGAACAGTCGCCATCTCGCGCGGAGATTTTTACGTCTTCTTCGCGCAAAGACCGGATTTTTCCTCCGGTTTCCCTGGACTACGTCGCACGAACGCTATTTTTCCGGATTTCGAGGTGGAGACAGAGAGAGAGGGAGAAAGGGGGAGGAGGAAGAAGACGTCCGTCGAGAGTAGTAATTCTTGATATTTCTCTGTTAGAATTCCGCGACGAAGAGAGAACGCTATTGGGGAACGATCGGAAGCAATAATGGTCATCTCGATGACGCGTGTCTTTCTCGTTCAAGTCTTTCCGTGGATGCGCTTTAGGCCTCTTTTATATCCGACGTCGTACAAATATCACGAGAGTAAATAGCCTCGCACGCGGCTCTTTGTCCACCCATGCGAGTTATAGCACCAAGTGGAGGAGATACGCGCGACTGTAATTCACCTTGAGCCTCTGAAAGACGAGATTGCTGGCTGGAACCACCCGTGGTCGTCTATTTCGGTTTAGGAAGAAAAGGCCGCACGGCAGGCAGCAACTCGTTCGGCAAACACGTTCTGCATGCGCACTTGCGCCCCGCCGAAATTCGCGCACCGGCGCGATCGTTACTTTTAATATAGTCCCCCGCGCTCTTCCTCGCCGGACCATCTTTCGCCTTCCACGTGTGACTTTTAACACCGAGATGACGATCGACGAATATATTCCGCTCCAACATTTCTTTATTTAGCGTCCTCCCTCCACTTTCTCTTTTTTTATTCCTCCTTCTCGTTAAGAGCTGTCGATTATTTTCCTCACTACGTCCGGCTCAGATCGGCCGAATCGTGACCCGAAAACGATTTTGCACGCCTAACTTTATACTAGTCAACGCTACGTGGAAGATCGCTGGAAGATTATCGGGAGACAGTAATTTGACAGTGAACATTTGTTTCTCGTGTAAATGGATTACGATTTACATATTCACGTTACGTACGAGAGCAGTCCGACGGAGCAAACTGTAAAGACTGCGCGACTAACGGACCCGATATTACGTTACAGAAGCAGAAGAAAATAAAAACACAATTTACACGCGCGACAATATCGTCAAGAAGCGAATTAGTGTAAAAACGACGGTAATCCGTTTATCAGCGATGAATATCTGAGAATCATTTATTCCGCGCTGATAACTCTTTGATATTCGGCCGGAGATCTTATCTCATTTTCACAGATATGCCTCAAGTATATCTGGGGTTCGACAAAATATATGTTTAGTGAGAGCGTATCGATTTGAATGAGTGAGTAACTAAACAGCCGTAAAGTGGGACACGCGTCGGGGAAATTTTCACTCGGGCACGCGACCCTGCGTGCGACGTTGGTGCGTGCCGCGCCCGTATCGAATGATACACACTACGTTACGTTAACGTACGTTACGCAAAAGTCGCCCGTGCGGCCGCCGCGCGTGTCAACGATCCATCGCGTGTCGTGCGTGGAAGCACGTTTATGCAGGGTGTAAGCAAACGAGAGGTTTGTTTCGCGTAAATACGAAACGCAAACTTAAACTCTCTTTTTTTTTTTACTATCTCCTTCTCTCTCTCTTTCTCTCTCTCTCTCTCTCTCTCTCTCTCTGTTTCTCACGAAGAATTGGATTTTCCCAATAAAATTCGAGGCAGAGCGCGTCTCATTCCGTTCGCTCGCATCTCCTATACGCGTATGCGTACGTTGTTATGAAGAAATGTCGAGTGAACGAAGGAAATGTTCACGTCGAGCACGTTTCATGGCGATGCGTCGGCTTTTCGACTTTTATCTACGAGCAATGTAGTTCCCGAAAGTTTTCGGGTCGTGAATCGAGAATCTAGTTTGCGCGACATTACTGGACGCTTTTCGGTACGGACCGATCTTTTTTCCTCGAAACTTACTTTTAGTAGTCTCCGAAACTGCGATTTTCGAAGAAAACGACCAAAGAGCGCGTCTCGAAAGTTCACGTTCGATCCGCGAAAAGTATCGTCAAAAAATTCGATGTAGACGCGGACAATTTTTTCTCGCTCGTGTGCTCTCTCTCTCTTCTCCTCCCCCTCTACCGAAGTCTCTTGCGAATTCGCAAGATATCGGTCGTAACTCGTTCCAACTAATATTTCGCGGGATTCATTTCGCCGCACCAACTGCACGCGTGCGTGAAAATGTGAGCTTCATCGTCATACTTTTGTTCCCAGGTTTGTCGATGTGTCCTTTCGATTGCCGGACGAAACTTCGATGGAATTAATAGGGTGTCAGGAACAGTTCGCGAATTCTTTCCTTCGTCAAGCTTGCGGCTGATTTTCTCCGGCTCTCTCGCTGTATTGATAAAAGTTGCACAACAACGACTAAACTCCCGTGGAATCACAAGACAAAACTCGCTGCTAAAGCTCGCTCATAATTAAAACAGGCCTAGACTCTCGATTGCGTAATTGACTATTTCGTCCCGTAAAGTCTGACTTATCTTAATTTCTGGTTTCCAACGTGTCCACGAGCTGTCAAGCAATTAACGCTAATCATCGGCTTAGAAATTTCCTGACGCGAAGCTTACCGATCTCTCACAAGCGATGAAGCTTGTGTCATTAGCGAATAATTCGGAAACATTAATATTAATATTCGACGATCGTTTCTGCGCAGCCAATATCGTTTGTCAATATTTGCTTGGACATACCGCTGCACTTAATGCATCTCGTGCACGGTTATTTGCCGTTAGCCACGCAGACTCGTGGCAAGGCAATACAAAATCAATCGCTTACATACAGACGTTGTTCCACGTCAGTCGATATATCCGTCTTCTCCGTAATATAACGCAGAAGTCGTGCGCCAAGTCGCCGAGACGAAGACGAACGACGGATGTTTTAATAATGGGACATCAATCTTTGAATGCCACGATTGATTGGCGGTCCAATAGTAAACGAGGATTACAAGATTTCTCTTGTGAATTACACGCGTCGTACGTATGCACGTCGAGAGACGCAAAAAGCCGATCGGAGCTATTGATTTCCAGCTTTTCTCCGACGAACCCCGTGTACATTTCAATGCCATGGAAATGGAATAGCCGACGTCATACCGCGGCTCGAAAGTGAATGGCGACATGTGTTTACATGCAAGATGTTTGTCTTTCCGTTTCCCGGTCGCGAAACGATACCGGTCGCTCCAGTTCCGAGCTCGCCGATAAACTTTGACTTCGTCATGGCGTGAATGCTCCGTTTTCTTCGACACTTCATCGAGATACATGTTTAAAGTGGCGTCGCGCATGGCCCCTTTGTCGGAGCGACGGACTCGTTGAGCGGATTCGTCTACATAATTCGCAAAGTAATATCGATAAATAAGTGATATAATCGAGCCGGCGGGGGCCACATTCTCTGACGGACACGAGCTCTCCCCAGGATTGAAGTTAGATAGGGTCAGTTTCCCGGGTGCGCATCCAACTTTGGGACAGCCTAATTAAACTGTACTTAATTATAATTCCTCCGAATCTGGCCGCGTGGATGCATTTCGACCCGTAAGCATCGACTCGGGAGGATGAAATTTAGTTTTCTAATTAAAACGTTGCACGAACGAATGATAAAGCGAGAGTCTCGATATATTTTTCCCTCCCTCCGTTATTTTTAAATCATCCGGAGAACGCGTCTGATAATCGTTTTATTTCTCCGCCAGCCGGCGGATTATCGATTTTCGTTGTAAATTATTGTGGCTTTATTATCGTGTCCACAATTATCATCTCCTGGCTGGTTCCTGCGTTGTATTGCTTTTTATTTCGTTCATCTCCTGCACCTCGTGCACGTGACTCGATCTCGATTTAGGTCTGGATTAGTCATGAATCGGATCTCCGGTGTCTATCTCCGACGTAGACACGCGTCAAGTTTCGGAGGTCCGAGGCTGTATTGCACCGAAATCAGCCAGCGAGCCGGTTGATTCGGATTCAGCGTAAGTTATCCGCCAATGGATATCCCTTAATTTCGGCGAGCGAATCAACGCTCGTTACGACGTGCTTGCTGACGTCAAAGCTCGGTGTCCATTGCACCTCCTGTTCCGGTCGCAAGGATCAGATTACAGAATGGTATTAACGGCCATATTTTTTGGAATATATTTCCGCACTATTTCCTTTGTTTCAGTTTACCGAGACGCTTTTCTTTTCTTTCTTGTATTTATCGAGCATCAGTCTTGTAGGAGAAATCTCTTAGCAGTGCAAAAGTTGATACAGTAGGTGTATAAAGAAAAAACAAAGAATAAAAAAGTTTCACTCACTCTGCGCTCGCCGGAAGCTCCTTGAAACATTGTTTGTTTATCGATTAATATGTGTGTGTGTATGTGTACATTTATATACTTGTATATATATATATATATATATGGTGTAGAGTGCAATGAGAGATTCTCAGCAGCAAACGAAGCAACTTTCTGTTCATTAAAATTCTGCTCGAATAATAGGTTTTAAATGAGAGCCATTTAAAGCTGTCGCATTAGCGTATCAGGTTGCACGCGAGTCAGGAGCGAAACCACGAAATGTCAAATGAGTCGTGTTGGCTGTTTTCATCTTATCTCAATAAGTATATTATGTAACTATACGTAATATCTGAATTATCGTTATTTGGCGTAAAATTGATTTCTGATACGAACGATTTGACGTATCGTCCTCTGTCGAAAGTCCAGCCCTCGGCGAGGATGAAAACACTGACGCGCTGCCTCCGAAGTGTCCGCGGCGGCGACCCGGAGCCCGCCGATCGCCGCTGGTGGGGGTCGACGCGCGCGGCCATGTGCTCGCGCGTAGACGCTCGATCGGCAATCAGTCGACGCCGCGCGCTCGCACCGGGCACACTTTGTCGGGGGTTTCTCTTCGCGATACGAACGGCGATATACGAGCGACAACGAAGATCTTCTCCCATCGTTTCTACGCACGGCGTATGACTGTGACACGTGTGCCGCGCAACCGACTGCGTAATTACGTCCAACGCACTTTTGCCGACGATGCGCGCGATGACGCGTAAGCAGTTCCTGCATCTTTCGCGCGTGTGACGTGTCCCATAGAGAGGGAAAGTCGTCGGCTCTCTCGTCGTAAGGAAAGGAGCGAGTACTTTCCGAGAGAGAGAGAGAGAGTACCGGAGCTCTCGGTAGCGGATAGCGTCTCGGAAAATGCCAAGGTGATCCCCTCTACCCTCCTCCTCATCCTTCTTCTTTTCCGCGTCGTCGACGCCTCGAGGAAAAACGCTCGTGAGTCCGCGTTAGAACGTGTGTGTCGGATCCCACCCATCGCACCCGATCTCGCTCCGTCGCGAAGAGCTCACTCGCACGCTGGAGCGTGATCCTCGACCGATCGTCGTCGCGCCTGCCGATCGCGGTTGAAATCGCCGCCAGGATGCATCACACGGCGCCGTGGTACCTGCCGTGGGGCTTGAAGCTGGTGCCGCTGCCGATTCCACCGGGACACCCAGCCTCGGGCATCCCGAATCCCGGCCTGCACCTGCTGGCGCCCTTGCCGGGAATTTACGCTCCGGAGCCGCGTAAGGTGAGCCGCGACTCCTTCGTCTTTTGCGCCCCAAGCGGCCCCTCGCTATTATTGTTTACTTCCAAAAGTCGCGCGTATTTGTCTTGTTTTTCCTTGTTTCTGCAAACGCCTTGCACATGTCGGACGCGTTATTTTGGGAGCGAGATGATGTTGAATGAGAATAACGATTACCTCAGTGTTCCCCGAAAATCGAGTTAGATGAGCGATAAAAGTTGAAAATTGCTTTCCGGCTCCGAGCGAAGTTCAAATGAGATACATCGCGCCACCCATTCAGTCCGCGACTGACTCGAAGTTGCAATTTTACTCCGAGGTTTCAAGTTGGTTATCGCGAAGTGAGCGCGCCCCCTTCTCTTCATTATCACCGAGCGAGTTGGCGTTCGCGCGAAGAATCCGCTAGCCGCCGGAGTCGATCGCGAAGTTGTGACGTTGTTTCGCCGGAAAACTAGGACCGGTCCTGTTCCTCTGTCTCGCGGAACCACCCACGCATTATTTCGCCGTCCGTCACGATGAAGCTCATCGCTTATCTCGTGCGATTTATTTATATCCGTTGAGAGAGATAGCGAACGCGCCGAAGTAGATCGTTTGGAAGCGACTATTGTTGATTACCGAGAACGAGTTACGGCCAATCGCATCGAATGTTATGCGCGGTGACGTGAGCGGCAAAACGATGAGCGGCCGTGTTCTTGCTCCTCTATGAATCATTCTGTTTTGCAATCGGTTTATTGTATTGTCGGATCGAGTGGTAAATATTGACTGTCCAACAATTGGCAAACTTTACACGCGTTTTTTGTCGAAATCAAGCATGAAGTTAGCGCCCAGGCGTTTGATCTAACCTTGCCGCTTATTGCAACGTCGCGATATAATTCGTTTTTTCATTCAGCGCGTTTTCATCGCGATGCCAGGTCGCTCGAGTCGCCTTAACGGGGGAAAAGTTTTGGGTGTCGCGAAATACCCGACAAAAGGGATCTCTCGGAGGCTCGCCGAAATTAGACCCGGCGCAGACGTTTCATATATTATTACAATTGTTAACAACGTGCAGCGACGTAGCGGGTCCTCCTATTTATAAGTAATGAGATCTGTCCGTGTGCCAAATTCGATCCAGTTATCTGGCCCGCCTGTCCTCAGGCGTGCTTCTATTCTAGGTAAAATCTAAATAGTCGGCGCGTACGAGAGGCGAATGCATCGAAAATAACCCGTGGAATACTACTCGTCGTCGCGTGTATTAAGGATAGCATGACAAGTATTCATATGCCGGCGCGCCGGGCTGCGCGCACATCGTACGCGAAGCAAGTCAGCAACCCTGGCGGCCAACCCTGGCCGGAGACCCCTTCGCCTCAAACACCACGCGAAACGAGCACGCTGAATATTTCACCTCCTTCTCCTCCTCCGTGAGTTACGGGACGAGGTAAAAATTGGCGCGGCTGGTATTGCCGATAAGCGAGCGAGTCAATTCGCGCGCGATTCTATGACAAATGAAGATACATTCGTCTCTCGTAGACTCCATTAACGCGGTCCCATTCTTCCTAGTTACAGACGGAAAAAATTGTCGGTTTGAATTTGCCGGGGATCGGACGAAAATTCGGTTGCGTAGGAGCAGAACGACGACTGGTAGGAGGTGTTCCTGCTCGGCCAATTGCTCTCGGTTGCTTCAATCGAGTTTTAATACAACCGAATGTTCGCACGAACGTGCTCAGTCGCCCTAACAGAGATATCATTTCTCGTCACCGAGTTTCCATTTCATGCCACCGAGTTTTCGTCTGGTTTGGAACTTTCCTTTCCATGTACGTCGAAAATTTCCAATCAGTCATTTCTGAACGCATCATGAACTGCCGTGGTGTCGATCGATCGAATAATCGGCAGTCATGACGCACGAATATTCAGACATCCGATGAAAATTTTCGAGGTTGCATCGTATCATTGGAGTCTTCATTTCACTCGTTTATTCAATTGACGGACTTTGGGACAGCCGAATCGGATTAGTTTTCCTAACGAGAGACTTTCGCGAAACTCTTGCCGCTCGACTTGCAACTTGGAGCCGCGCGCGTTTCATTAAACTCGATATAAGCCCGCGCGTAAATCTTTCGCCGTGCCCGTTCGCACAACTTTCGGCGCGCAAACTACGGAGCCTCGTAATGCTCTCGCATTTAAAATGCGCTTTATTAGTAGGTTAAATCGATCTCAGGACGGAAACTTCCCTCGGGCGTGCTCGATATCGACCGTTGCTCGGCAAACTTGACCTTACTCCAAGTTACCGAACGGCATTTTCCGTAATCCTCGAGTAAGAAGAATTTAATCTCAGCCGAGTGAGAGAGCGCGCACGCGCGACGCTTATAAGCTACCTGCTCGCGCGCTTGAATAAAGACATTTAGCGAGGAAGAGCTCGTCGTAACATCCGCAGGGCACAGCCCTCGTAGCGCGAGCCGTAATGAAATTAGCGGGGCCGAAGGGTTCCCCGTCGCGCTTTTCATCCCGTCTTCCTCTCAGGCCTCCTCTCAGGTAAACCGCCGGGGAGCGTTGCGTCGTCTGAAAATTCGTATCGGCCAAGTACCGTCGTCGGAGCGGCGGATACGCTCCGACGACACGGTAAACGTTTCCCGAGCGCATATCTATAATTTGACGAGCACTTTGCCGTCACTTTGCCGCGCTCGCATTTGCGGGGGCGCTTTTCCCCGCGCGACGCCGCGCCCGCGACACATTACCGTAATTCGTGAAATATAAAGTCCCCGGGACATAAGGGAAGAAGGGAAGCGAACGACCTTGCCTGCGTGCTAAGTCGACGGCCAATTTAGAGCTTATTCTCGGAGACACTCGGGCGAATTTGCCAGAGAAAGAAAAAAAAAGAAATGAGTCGTACGGTCGTTCCGAGGGGAATCTACGTGAAAATCGGCAAAGTACTTTCCAGGCGTGAGCCGGCGGGAAACCTATCGATCGAGGCATCCCGTGCCTTTCGGGACATGTAGATAAAGGGCCTGCAGCCGAAACGGTCGCCAGACGTGTCGTTACGCGGCAGATATACGCTCGCGTGCATCGCGCACGCCGGTTGCATGCATGTACGCGCGAAAATCGAGAACTATACACACGACACTTTACGAGCAAACAGGTGCGCGGCGCGCCTTCGACGGTCCGGCGAGTCGTCCTACTCGCCGTGGAAATCTATGCTCGATCGACCGCGTTAATTCGACCCTTCGTGTCGCGGAGCGCTTTCGCAGCTGAATTTTCCAGCGATGTTTTACGGGAGAAAGTAGAGAGAGAGAGAGAGAGAGGCAGGTATTAAAGATAATCCGTTTTGTATTATCAAACTGTCGATATTTTCCACTTCTACAGCGCGCTGTCTCGTACACCGATATTTTCGCTCGATATCCGCCGAAAATATCGATAATCCTGCCTGCGCATTCCTTCCTCCCTTTATTAAATTTTACTTCATTCAATTTTCGCCACGTCGATGATCGATGTACTGCCTTTACGTTCGAATGCGTCTGTCGTCCTGACGGTGTATCAGTCATCAAAACTAGACAGCGTTCGATCATCGTGTGTCGATGATTTTTAGGGATGGATCGCTGACAACTGCAATACACGTGCGTATTTATTTCCCATTGATTGCGCCGCGATTTTCGTACAGGATGCCGACGTTTATTTATTTATGATAGTCGGATCGCTCGTTGATAGCCGTGATAACGTCGAACCGGGGATTTACGTGTGTGTTAACTTGACGCATCTTCGATAAATCACGGCGAATATTCGCGACGTTTCGTACGTTCGTGACTTGTTTACTCGCGATAATTGCGCACGTCGAATTGGATATTTAAATGTTTCGCGCGAAATAACGAGTGTCAAAAGATTATCCTCGCGATAGTGCGATTATCCCATCGAAGGAGTTACGTAAATATCTCCATTAATTTCTATACAGACTATCTAGGCGAAGTGCGCGCTAAACGTAAGCTCTCTGTTCTCGGAAGAAGTTGGAATCGAGTTTCTCTGAGCGAAGTCTTAATTCGAAGTCGTTTTCATAACTTTTCCATTTTCAACGCTGGACATCTCGGCTATTAATAAGTCGCGAATTAAAGTTTCCTCAAAAGATAGATGTTAAATGTTAAAGCGTTCATACTCCAACGTCCATTGGATGTTGGACTATCGCGAGAGCGTCTCTTTATAATTCTTGAAACTCAAACAACTCGGCGCAATCAACCTCTCTTTCTTTCTCTTTCTCCCTCTCAATTAAATCCGCGCCGAGATCAATTCGGCGCACAAGTCGCTCGCGGGACGACTTTCTTCAAGGTTACAGCCTCGTTGATTTCACGGGCCGCGCATATCCGTTTAATACCGACGCGAATTCTCGCAAGGTTCGCGCGAAATCCGCCAATTAGATCCTCTCAGTCGTGTTAAGCGACGAGTCCGCCGCGGCCGTGTACTCGCGCGGCGTGACGGTATATTCGCGCCATTAATTCGCAATCTATTTATTTACCGCGATCGAGCGCTCGTAACGTGGCGTTTGATCTTCGCGCCTATATGCATGACAATGCCCGTCGCACGCTCGCTCGCTCGTTCTCGCGACAAATGCGCTGTGCGTCGCGACGGTGCGGGGCTGCGGTTATTCCGGGCGCTCAATTATCTTCGCACAATGACTCGATCGCGAGCGGAGCGTCGCGACGGAGCTCTGTTTTGCGTTTTGCAATTCGGGGACCGGCTAAATTTAATTTACAGCGAGATTGAGCGAAGTTCAGACTTGACGACGAGAGAAGGATCGAAGTTTAACAACTTCTTTTACATGCTTCTCGTTTAAGTCAGACACGCACATTAGTGTGGCGTTTCTATAGATCTTTGCGTGAGATACGCGGACCCAAGAGGAATTTTTGATATCCTAAATAGTTTCGCGGATATCTACCCGCCGCATTTTTCGTGATGTCGAGCGAGGGGAGGAGAATGGACGTGAAATGGAAGGGAAATGGGGGAGAGAGAGAGAGGGGGGGAGAGAAAGAGAGAGATAGAGAGCGAGCTACAGG